GCAAATTAAGATGTAATTTTTTTTTTGAATTCAATTGAATACTTCTGACAAAAAAATTGAAAACAATCTCTGAATGGAACTACTTCCCGCGCTCCGCGGAATAACAGAGTAATCAGGTTGATAATATGCTGATGTATCCATACGCCAACTGAAAAGTTCATTGAAAAATAACCTTTAAAATGTTAAGTAGGTATATTGAGTCCATGTTATATACCTGTAGTATTATCAAATATTAGTAATGTAAAAAGCAACTAGTTTGTTATGGGACGAGCATACATTTCCTCTCTGGTCAAAGGTTTAAAGATCATCTTGTTTATTACTGTAATTATTCTTATTTTCAGAAGGCAGGAGCAGTAGGCACAAGGGAAAACAACTATTTATTGTCCCTGAATGGTGCTGTTTCCAACGGTTTTCAGCCTTATGTAGTCGTTTGTCTTAAAGGAACATTATAATTAATAATTCACGAGTACCTTAAATGTAACTTTCTAAGGATAACAATGTTAGTCAAATCTGAAGACTACCTGCTTGTGTTGACCTTCTAATGAGGCTAGCTAACATGTTTGGTTTGCTTCGGGTTTGGTTTGGTTTTATTTTGTTTAACATCCTATTAACAGCTAAGGTTATTTAAGGACGGCCTCCCCTGTGTACAAGATGCATGCGTGTAGTGTACGTGCGTGTATTTTGGGCGGCAGCGATATGTTCGTGTTTTTCTCCTTGTGATAGCGCGGAAGTGATGCCGACTTTATAGTGCTACCTCACTGAAACATACTGCCGAGGACACCCAGCAGGACACCTCACCCAGTCACATTATACTGACAACGGGCGAACCAGTCGTCTCACTCCTAATTAGCCGAGTGTTAAGCAGGAGAAGAAACTACCATTTTTAAAGACTTTGGTATGTCTGGGCCAGGGGACAGAACCCTAAGCCTTCCTCACAGGGGCGAACGCTCAAAAAATGGCGTAAAGTGAGGCATTGTCAAGGGAGACATTAGGAAGAAGAAATTTATTTAGAAAGGAGAGAACAGATAAGGTCCCAAATTTAGTCGCCTCTTACGATCATGCAATTGGGGGCAGCAGGCACAATTCTTACGCCCTACCTGAAGGGACGGTTTGCTTCGGGGAGGTAGATTAGTACCCCTACTTTAGCTGTCATGTTATACCGATAAGCATCGTAGACATTTTAAAACAACAAAATAAATAAAATATCTTATATTATTGACTTGATATAATTGAAATGCCCATGAATGATATTTGTTTTGTAAGAATTTAAATATTTGTTCATTTGTTTTAATTGTCATCATAAAGGTTAATCTAAATTATAAATGGTTTTAATATGTGTAAACAATGTGTTCCCCACTGGATGTTGTTAACGGGAGGACTTATATAGGTAATGCCCGATGTCCAATACGGATTTTACTTCTGTCAATAAAAGATGTTGAAATCGAAATCGAAATAATAATACAATTAATATTTCACGAGTACCTAACATGTAACTACTTTATCGTAACGATGAAAGCCAAATCTGTGGACTGCTTTCTTGTGTTGACCTTTTCTTGAGGCTAGCTTACATGTTTGGTTTGCTTCGGGGAAGAAGATCTATGCACGAGTAGCCAGAAATCGCTAGAATCGATCTCCTAAAACTCCTTACTTATGCCGTCATGTTAACCGATAATAATCGTACAGACATTTTAAAACAAAATTCTAAGATCCAAAAACTTACCAGAAAACTTAACTGCCGTTTCACTGTCGATATGTCTCGATCGTTAACAAACAGTATTGATGGTTCAAGGTCGGGTACTGTCTCTGCCGACTTTTCGTATGATTGGCTCGATCAACTTCGAGAATTGATGGTGACGGGTGATTAGCACGTTATCATACCATAATATTCTCCGGTGCATACAAATTATCATTATCTCTAACTTCCTGTATTTATTTACTATCATTAACTGACACTTCCTGTGTATATCAACTATATTCAATTGTTTCTTCCTATGTACATCTGCATATCAACTGTAATCTACTCTAACTTCCTATGTATACACTATCATTAACTGTAACTTTCTGTGAATATAAACTCTCATCAGCTCTAACTTCCTGTGTATATAAACTATCATTACCTGAAACTTCCTTTGCATATAAACTTTCATTAACTGTAACTTCTTGTGTATATAAACCATAATCAACTCTAACTTCCTGTGTATATAAACAATCATTAACTAAAATTTCCTGTGTATATAAACTATCATTAACTGTAACTTCTTGTGTGTATAAACTATTATCAATTCTAACTTCTTGTGTATATAAACTATCATTAACTGAAACTCCCTGTGTATATAAACTATCTTTAACTCTAACGTCCCGTGTATATAAACTATAATCAACTCTAACGTCCCGTGTATATAAATTATAACATTCCCAACTGTAATTTCCTGTTTATATAAACTATCATTAACTTTAACGTCCCGTGTATATAAACTATAATCAACTCTAACGTCCCGTGTATATAAACTATAATCAACTTTAACGTCCCGTGTATATAAACTGTTATCCACTGTTACTTCACGTGTATAATAACTGTCATTAACTGTATAATTACCTGTGTATATAAACCATCATTAACTGTAATTTCCTGCAGATATTAAATGTCATTTACTGGAATTTCCCGTATATATTAACTGTGATTAACTCTAACCTCCTGTGTATAAAAACTATTGCATTATCACTTGTAACTTTCTGGGTATATTAACTGTCATTAACTCTCACTTTCTGTGTATACAAACTATCATCAACTCTAACCTTGTATGTATATAAACTGCCATTTACTCTAACCTCCTATGTATATAAACTATCATTTACTCTAACCTCATATGTATATAAACTATCATTTACCCTAACCCCCTATGTATATAAACTATCATCTTCTTTAACCTCCTATGTATGTAAAATAGCATTAGCTCTAATTTCCTGTGTGCAGGAAATGTCGTAGTACCCTGTGTTCCACTTATTTGGATCATATATATGAACTATACATCATGTTTAAAACTGTGTATACAAATCTTCCCACATTTTGTATCACATACTTAACACTGCAACTTTTGTGTGGGCTCTATAAATATGTATGTAAGATCCTGTCTATTTATCCTTTTCCTATCACACCCCTATTTGCTCCCCTGTCCATGGTACATAACTCCCACATCGTGTCACATATCCGGGTTACTAGGGACAAGTCTAACACAGGTTAGGCTTTATTTCTTTTCCTTTTGATAAATCAATATATTTTTTTTAGATAAGATAAACTGCACTTCCTGTGTATTTAAACTATTTGATATTGTGAGTAAGGAAGTTGTTCTCTAATCTATAATTACACACTAATGTTTTGGCTGGTTTATCGTTGTGTCCGCTATAGCGTTCACTCTTGTAGACTTAATCTGGCCAATAGCCACCATTGCAAGATTTCCTTACCAATCTGCAAAATCAAGCGTGTCTTAATTTTTGAAAGACCAACGTATAATACTTTAGAGCCACAACTTTGTTGCTAAATTGTTTAAAATAAGTTCAACAATTTATCGGATCCTTATGCCCCATAAGTAAATTTGTGATGAACAAAAATCTAAAAAATAAACGAAGGGCTTATAATCAACTATGAAGCAATACACGGCGTTACGATGCGATATATGTCAGTGGATCGTTATAAAACAAGGTAATAGATAACGTTAAAAACGAGTAAATGATGTTAACATCATGAAATGATCAGAAATGCATTATTTTCCAATACTCTGTGTATTTCTTGCCAAGCTTTGTTTTTGTTTTGTTTGAATGAGTTGTCAAAAAATGTCATAATACAGTTTGTGTGGTTTTCAAAATGTATATCAAATGCCGCACTTTTCATAAAGTGTGGCAGAGAATATATTCACGTACTTAGAATGCTATAATTTTTGAAATACTGTATTGCTCTCAGGTTACACTATTACGATATTCTACTATATTGTAAAATAAAAAATAATGAAAACAAATCTTCTCTTGCAAAAATGTTTCTGTTATTACGTGTATGAACTAGCATCAAATCATTGGTCGAGGGGGGGGGGGGGGGGGGGTCATCATTGTCTATGTTACTTACCGTCTTCTATCTTACTCATTACAAATGCACTTAAACACCTAAATCTGCTTTACTAATGCATAAGATTATCTAAGGTAGGGTACGAGCTGTAGTACAGAGATCACTAATCTTATGCCATTTATATTTTTCAAACCGTGGTCGGTCTAGTGTTCGCAGTGCTTCTAGCAGCGCCTTGATAGTGTTAGCGATAACTGAAGTCGCGATGTCAGGCATGTGGCCTGTATCACCCTACTATCGAGGTTATCTGTCCTCAATATAGGTCATTATATTTCTGTCTATATATAAACGCCACATACTCTAATATAAACATTAATTGAACAGAGGAAACGCTTAGAATAAAATACATACCGTAGAAATACTGACGTCATTATTATTTGGGTTCATACTGAGCTTTGTCTTTATTTTCGAATCAAGTGTTCTACCATACCTTTTGTCAGGGAAATGTAATCAAAATGTTAACTGTTTTGCTGTTGAACGATGTTTGTACCTGCACACATCCGCTTGTATTTGTAGGTACTGTTCTCCGTAGCGAACTATCAATGCAGTGTGAGCCTCCATCGCAGAAACAGTATTTGTTTAGGGTCAATGTGGTTCTTAACCGTTAAACTCTGTAAAATTAGCGAGCAAAATGAGAAAAATTGCAAATAACGTATCCAAATATTTACATTACACAATATGAATGAGAAACGGACTTCAAATCTGAAGTCTGCTTATGACGTATAGTAGCCCCAATGTTGTACCTTCAGTGTGGCATGCGGTAAAGTGGTATTCCGGCTGTGGGTAAGGGCGGTCAATCACGCTCTGTAAAAAGGTGTTTTATGAATTAAATGATCGGTATGACACAGAGGTGGAAGTACTCACGCATGCGCAGTAAAGCTAGCTAACGTATCTGCATACCGATAAACGTATATGTATATATGCATGCCTTATACTAAACGAAGCTTTCTCCTCTGCAGCAGGTCTGACGGCGCGTTCTACTAGTACTGGTCAACTGTGATGAACTTATCTGCCAATATGTCTACGTTACGAAATATATGCTTGCTGCTGTTTGGACTTCTGACCATTTCCAGTGCCTCAGGTAAGCATTTACAATATAATAAATAGTTTATATAATCTTTATTTTATCTATAATTTAATTTAATTTATTTAACGGTGTGTGTTGACTAATGTAGTTATAGAATATGAATTAAACTTCAATTCGATTCGTGTTACATGTCTATAATATTGGTTGAACATTGCTAAAATGTTTCATCTTAAATCAAATAATCCGAGATAGATTTGTTGAGGATTATCTATATGATAAAGAATGGAAAAAGAGTTCAGGGACATTAAAATGTCGTGAATTAGGTCGTCCCTTACATGACATGTCAAGGTAACTTTTGCTGTAGGTTTCGTACACTAGACGTGTTTAACCCACGTCGTCTAGCTTATCACCGTTATATTGTACTCAAATCTGCAAATAAGACTGAGCAAGTAGATAGTAAACCAAATCGTACGTATGGTAAGGTATAATTTATGTGAGTTTCTTTTACGGAGTGATGTAAAAAGAGCATTAAGGATATTTTCACATTTCATTGTATTAATAATCTGTGACCGTAATTAGTACCTATGAGATATTACCCCGTGCTGCAGCGGAAATCGTATTCTTAACGCTGTAGTACAGAGGGATTACCACTAACAAGTGTCTGGCATCATCTCAATTCCCGTTCGTGCAGAAAGCACAAATCCTGATCTCTATTAGAGTTGACAGTCTCGAGTACCTCACCCATCCACTGTGCGAGATGTAAAAAACCGCTGGGAGATAACGTCAACTTGAATCTACATGGTCCTGGAATATTTATATTAGTATACAGTTGGGTAATAACTTACGACACATGTATCTCCTGTCAGTGTACAACCTGTTACCATTCCTCGGGTTCCAGATTTGGAGCTGTCGTATCCATTCACTATTGAATCCCTAACACTATAGTCTAAGTTAGCATGCCCACATTTGTTTCTGTTTAAATACGTACAACTATGTTATACGCGCAATGTTGGTAATGTTGGCAATTTTGGAAACATTTTGTCCGACAAGCGTACGTCTTATAATCTTTAGTCTGTATACCCGTTTCTTACTCTTTCTTGAAGATCATTAATTATCCTATTTTCATTGGAGTAAACTGATTTACATATAAAATCTTTACATGAATCTATGTTCCGGAAGACCTCAAGCCCATCTCATTGCGTGTAACAATATTTGAAAAATATGTTTCGACTGAGAAAAGAAAACATTTCAATTAAATCATGTTTACGACTTTGTAATTATTAGGTCTTCATACCTAATGCCTTCTAACGAAATTGGTTTTAACAGGAACGTGTAATTTGTGAATTAGACGGAATGTGTCATCTTTCCAATTGTTATACATGCAAACTCTCAAAAAAAAAAAAACGGCTCCAAATGTACGTTTCTTCACATATCAAGTGGTAGTCGCAGAGTTTTTACCGATATCAGTTTGTCAGTGTCCCAATAGTCGAAAACACATAACACAAGGTTGGAATAGTGAAATTTGTTCCGGTTAATCAACAAAAAGAGACTGTTTGGAAATTTTCTGAATAAGAATACTATATTCCGTTTTTGGTCCGGAGTAATATTGTTTGTTGATTTGTCATTCCTGTGTCATTTGCATATAGTACAAAATGGCGTCGTTCAGGTGGGGAATTTTGAACGAATGAAAACCGTGGACTCTACTGACAGAATGTAGCAATTGTTAGTGATGATTAGTGCGGTTTTAGATCAATAAATAGCCCATTTATCGCTATGTTATATATATGTTATGTAATAGTAGATATTTGTTGTCAGCACCTCAAAACTTGCTGAGAAGTAGTGCGCTATGGCCTCACACATACGACGACTTATGAACTAGGTTGTGAAAAAGCGGTATATAAGAACCTCGAATTATTATTATTATTGTTATCATTATTATCTATCTGTCAAAATATTTAAGTCAAGTATCAGGACCAGAAGAAACTATTCCTCCATGTTTTTACATCAGAAGTATCATCGCAAGGGAAATTATCATTATTATCTTTCATTAAGAAATCATCTTGTCTTTTTAAAATTTGAATCATAGAAGGTTCTTATTGGCCGAGTTCAAGCCTTTTCTGGGTTTGCGCACAACTGAAAATAAGTGACTAGTTTAAAGAGTAATTATGCTCCTCGTAATCGTGGTAACTTTGGAAACCTTCATGTTTGTCCTATTTTCTTTGTTCTACTTTTTACCAAAAGTGTTTTTATCGTCGTATTCCTATTGTTTCAGAAAATGTTACCAATTATAAATATGTACCCTATGTCCATCGCCTTTGACTTTTCCTAGCTGGAAAGACCCACAAGAAACTTTAAATATGAATCGACAGCCATTGGTTTTAACACTCACATTCCTGTGGTTTTGAAGTTTTTCGCCAAATTATCACTCGATTGTATCTGTCTTTCGTCAGAGCTGCGTTTACAAATTGCACTTTACGATCACCAATAACATTATCTCCAAAGCTGCCTGCTTTTTTCGCTTGAAACTGCCTTTTGAATTTGCGATTAAAGTTTATAACATTTGTTTCTTTCTTCAAAAAATCTTAATGTTTAAAATTGTTATTTTTGATTTTATCAACAATTATACACACTTGATTCCCTTGTAAGTGTATTGATCAATATAAGGAATTATTGATATCAGCAAATGATTTTAAAGATATCAATTATTAATTATGTTGATCAGACTGTCTATTACTACTCATCACCGCGTGTTTTCCTGTCTAAGCATTGACGCAAGTAAGTCCACGTGCTCTTGACAACATGTATGGATGATTAACTAACAGATACAAGACCTGCTCAAGCTCTTGGGCAATCAAATAGTCAGATTAACTAAAAGCTTACTTTTATAATCGTTTCAGTTATTTTACTAAATGACAAATCATTGTAGGAAAATGATCTATTTATTATGGTGATATCATGAAATGCCGGATTCATTTCCAGATACTCTTGATTCGTGACCATATTTCCTTTGAATGATACGTGTAAATCTGTATATCCTGTATCATCCTTGGTAAACAGCTACAGTGTGATAAAGTGGTGTTACTCCCAGCCACTAGTACGATCTTAATTACTTGTTTCCTTACATTACCAATCAACCACTTATCTTACTAGTGCTCGCTATTCGTGTATCTATTGAACATTTTCGCCCGAGGCATCAAACCACTCTGTAAACACAGAACCGCATTGAGTGTGCTGGGTAGTGTTGATTCATTGTATGGATAAGACACTGTATATGTACATATAGGTATTGTAACGGCATTCATCTGCCTGTTTTAATATTGTTAGACATAATCTTCGTCCATATTTCCGGTTTTTATTCAAATGTTATTGATTTTTTGTAAACTGAATGACAACATCAAGCTCTGTATATTTCAAATAAATCACGAACAAACTTTTCCAATCTAAATATTAATCTCTTTCGTTGGCCCGAGTGGAAGGACGCTGAGGATCTTAATGTGGGAGGAAACCAGAGTATCTAGAGACACCTAACTTGGTCTAATACTTTTTCACATCCGATCTATGAACCACACAACGGCTGTCTTGGGAAAATGTTACAGCGCTATCTACTGCGGCATCAGATCATCCACAAATTCAATTTGAATTAGTTTTATCTGGGGTAGAAAAAAAACAAAAGTATTTGTATTCGAGTATATAATTCAGCGATTTTGGTCAAGTGAGAGAAACAGATTAATTAAAAAAATAATTGAGCAATTCAGCCTCGTCTGAATAGGAATATCGCAACTTTGTTAACACAGCATGCTTGCTGCCATAGGTTTGCAACAGAAAATCTGCAATGGCAGTCATTGGCTTCATATTAAGCTCTCTAACAGAATCCCGCAAAGCTCGGGAGTTTCTACACGAATCAACTACGAAGCTGTGCAGTTAGAGACTACAGCTATATCATAATTTCAATTGATTGATGATTCAACACATGGCTCAGAGGTGCATGTATCTTTGCAAACATCGAGTCTAAGACTCTCTTCAATATTGTAATATCCAAGAAACTTTTCAGCATTTGAGACTTGAGAAATAATTTCGTTACACTGAAGGGTATATGTTTCAATCAAATAAACTACATATCGTTGGATAATGACTTTTTGGTCGTACTTTAACATGCCAATTAAAACGTTGCTTGATGTAGGTAGACGAAACATATCATACCCTTCTCCTGGACCAAATGTCAGCTACGTAGAAATAATAACAATAATATGACAAAACCGGGTTATCGCAATGCAGTCAAACATCTGTTATAATGTATTTACATTCTCGGGAAGGTCATCAGATACAGTCCGAACATGTCGGTGTAACACTGCGGTACACATACTTATCACATTGTAGTACATCATCCGCAGGTCAGTGTCACAAAATACATGCTTGACTTTAAAAACATTATGTTTATTTGATAATGAATAACGTATCCCGGCTTTAAGCTCTGACAGTGTCCTTGTGTGTTGACGTTGTTGTTTATTTGGCCTTTTATGCTTATAATGTGGTATATACTTTAGGCAGTGTCTTAATAAACATATAACTCGACTTAGTCTTTGTTGACGTTGTGCTTTTACATTTAAGCGTTGTCTTAACTTGAAATATTGTCGATCAATGGTGACCTCTGAAATTGTGATTAAAATTCGAATTTGTTTCATAAAGGGGGAAATGTTTTAAACTTTAACGTATGTTTAATCGCACGAATCCTTGCCTGACTGTTAATTAACAACAGTAGGTTAATCGTACGAACCCTTGCCTGACTGTTAACCACAGTAGGTTAATCGTACGAATCCTTGCCTGACTGTAAACAACAGTAGGTTAATCGTACGAATCCTTGCCTGAGTGTTAACTACAGTATGTTAATCGTACGAATCCTTGCCTGACTGTTAACTACAGTATGTTAATCGTACGAATCCTTGCCTGACTGTAAACAACAGTAGGTTAATCGTACGAATCCTTGCCTGAGTGTTAACTACAGTATGTTAATCGTACGAATCCTTGCCTGACTGTAAACAACAGTAGGTTAATCG